GATGACATTGTATGACAATTGTCGGGGTACTGACATTAGTCTGTGCTTTACACATTCTGTGAAATAAATATGTTTAAAACATCTTACAGGTCCAGAAGAACAACGACCAAGATTTTATTCCGAAATTCAGTAACACCAGAAACGCCCCAAGACCTACTGTGTACCATCTCATAATTTCGGGCTGTATAATAGTGGCGTTTACTGGCAGTGAACATCAGCATTACTTCATTAACACGTTCGTGTGTGCCTGCTTGTACAAGTGTGGTTTCCTGGAGCTGACCGACTGCTCTGGCAACTGCGTGTGACTATCAAGGCCAAACGTCGGGGAAAACTAACGTTGTGTTGTTCCACCAGGACAGTGTACATGTGCACAAGTCTGTTGTCTTCGTGGCTGCAGTGCATGGCCGTGGTTTTGAATTCATCGAACACCCTCCGTCTGGCAAGCATTTTGCAAAATTTGATGACGTCATTTCTGCTGTGTAGGATCCTTTACACCACTAGAGGGAACACCAGTGGGACCCAGGCGCTCCAGCATTGTTGACAGAAGTGAGGTGAACTGGGAGGGGATTATGTTGAAACATAATTAGAAACCAACTCCATCAACGCATTCCAGCATAGTTAGGCTCTCCACCCTTCAGCCACTTCGTCTTTTTGAAACGAATCTTCTGCCGCAGTGCCCTGACCCGAACTTGAACGTAGAATGCAGCTATACTGAGGAAGACATAGATGAAATTCAAAGCTACTCTCTACAAGAATCAAATAGCACAAATTCTCTTTATAGAAATGTGACCTTAGGTCGACCGTAACGAAAGCCTGAGCCTGAAATAGTTATAGTGAAATTATGTAATACTTATTAATGCGTCAAAACTCTTTCTACAATCATAGGAAATCTTAAAGTCCAAGTTCGATTCCGAATGTATCCTAATAATGTATTTATTAATCATTATCCATACTATAATACCAGATGTTCGTCGACCGCCCCGTTGGTAAGTTGTTTAGCGCGTCTGCCCGGCGTGCGGGGGTTGGATATTTAATCCCCGACTGCGTCATACCAAAATACGTTAAAAGTTGGTACTTGTTGTTACCCTGCCTGCCTGGTGTATCTAGGTTTAACTTCGCCATGGTATAGAGGCCTAGCACTCTAAAAGTCCTGACAAGTACAAGCACACACACACACACATTAAATTAGAGGTAGTAACAAGGACAGCAATTTTAAATTCCTGACGAACTGTACGATATGAACTTGCTTCTGTGTAGATGTGATTGTGTAGAACTGTACGATATGAACTTGCTTCTGTGTAGATGTGATTGTGTAGAACTGTACGATATGAACTTGCTTCTGTGTAGATGTGATTGTGTAGAACTGTACGATATGAACTTGCTTCTGTGTAGATGTTATTGTGTAGAACTGTACGTCGATATGAACTTGCTTCTGTGTAGATGTGATGTTGTAGAACTGTACGATATGAACTTGCTTCTGTGTAGATGTGATTGTGTAGAACTGTACGATATGAACTTGCTTCTGTGTAGATGTGATTGTGTAGAACTGTACGATATGAACTTGCTTCTGTGTAGATGTGATTGTGTAGAACTGTACGATATGAACTTGCTTCTGTGTAGATGTGATTGTGTAGAACTGTACGATATGACCTTGCTTCTGTGTAGATGTGATGTTGTAGAACTGTACGATATGACCTTGCTTCTGTGTAGATGTGATGTTGTAGAACTGTACGGTATGACCTTGCTTCTGTGTAGATGTGATGTTGTAGAACTGTACGATATGACCTTGCTTCTGTGTAGATGTGATGTTGTAGAACTGTACGGTATGACCTTGCTTCTGTGTAGATGTGATTGTGTGGGAAACTAGGAGTACTGTCGTCATCAATCAGATCCATCTTATCTCCACGGACATTTTGTATGCACGATCTCTTTCGAAGGTGTTATCCGGGAAAACCTTATTGTTATTGAACAGTTGTTTGCCAGCTCTGCTTGGCATTGTTTTAAATAGACCTTAATATCTTTATGACGGCGTCGGCCTCTGTCTCAGCTCTATAGCCGTAACGCTGGGAAAGAGCAGCATGTAGGTTATATCATGGAGGATACATCTGAGGGAGGGTTGTGCCGCGCCACAGGACGAGACCAGTAGAAGTGAGCGCGGGGTTGTGTACAAGATGGCCGTTGTATAATGGCCGCCAGGAGAGGCAGAGACACCACTTGAATATGACTACATATGTAATGGATTACGATACCTATCGACGCCAACTATTCACAAATAGGTCATGGAGACAAAGGCTATAGATATCATACGAACAGGAACAATTTATGAATTCATTATTGCTTCCTTTTATTGAGAAGGATCCCCTGAGAAAACACAAAACGTTGAGCAACAAAGATTCACCCAGTAGAGTAGGAGATGTGTTAATATACATACATAGTATATGATCCGATATGCTGGAACCCATTGATAAACTATTCTACCGAATTTAGCTCACGCAATTTGGGATATCAAGTTACGTTTTATATCTAAAATTTTACAAATTCGATTTTATACAACAGAATACATTATTTGACAATTTTTCGATATTAATAAGTATTTCATGATATCAAAAAATCAAATTTGTGACATAAATTTATTCATTGGTATCAATAAATGAATTATTGAGATATATTTTGATATTAAATAAGGAAAAGAAAGTAAAAATGCGTTTTATATGTTGTTCTTTTTAGAGTTGTATTGAGTAACGCGATTGCATCACGATTAGGTTGTTAATTGCTAGACTGTTTCAGTTCAATGAAAGACTGTTTAAAACATGGCAACAATGTCCACCACCCCCACCACCACCAAAAAAAAGAAGAAAAAAAAGGAGACATGAGCGTTTGTATGCTCAACTTGCTTTACAGGAACAACTGTTGTAGTTTAGTTACAAGAAATGTATTCAGATAATATCATCATTGGATGAGAAAGGTCTGTTGCGAACTACCTCAGTAAATTGGTCACAATGACAGCGCGTCGTAATACATTACATCAAGTACAAGACGTCAAAATGGTCGACATCATAAAGGTGAAGGGGGAGATGTCCGAAATTGTTAATCAACCTGTGGCGGTTACACGTGTTCGTCATCATAGATCAGTTGGCCGATCATTGAAACGTGAAAGTAATTTAAAAGATGTGTCAAATAGATACTAAGGTAAATTCATAGATTGCTGTAGACTGTAACTGTCAGTGAAGACACGGATCGAGTCGACAGACTACTGTGGATGTGCATTTCTACGTTTTGTTCACTGGGGTCGGTCGTAGCGAGATATTCGTGAAGGATTATACAGTCAAACTCTCTGGCTACACAATCCCATTTAGAAAGTGGTCAAATGTAACAAATGTTATATTTGGGATAACACTTTCTTAGTAGAGTACAAATTCTAGTTCCTTTTGGGTTGAGTCCCGTCCGGGATTCGAACCTACACTTGCCAAAGTGAGGCACCTAATCGCCAGCACACAAAATCAGCGATCTAACCCACTCAGCCACCGAGGCTTCCACAAAAATGAAAGTCCGACAACTGGTAGTCTAGATAGGTGCCTAATCGCCAGCACACAAAGTACGTTCCTTCGGTTGCAATCAATATGACGGAAGAAAGTCAGCCCACATTTAGGAATTGATTATCAGAACAAACGAAACAACCTAACGAAACTAGGCGATCGCCATATATGACGGAGGGAATGTGGGCCCACATTTTAGAAAATGGTTATCAGCACTAAACCAATCTAAGAAGATGTACGGATGGAAAGATAGATATATAATGCATTCAAACATTTAATTAAGAATATGGTTTACCTTAGGGGTAATCTGGGCATTTAATAGCTGGATCAACAACGTACAGCATGGCTGACGCCGTCTCGCAAATGCGAAAACGGAGATAGCTCCCGTTTGAAATTAGAGTGACCTCCCTTCCCCACTATGAACCACTGATAATGCGGTCTCGTCCCCTCCTTTATAAAACAACTCATATCTGGATTTACGCTATTTAACTTGCATCTCTTGTGTCTAGAAATATGTTAAGTCATTACCCTCACCATATCCCATTTCTCCCAGAGTATCCCTAAATCCACGTGTTTGGATTTTATCATCGCAGAGCGCCATTTTCAGGATAAGTCGGCGGGGTTTACGTGTGCTCGATATAGAGAATCTACTGTGTGCACGGTCTATGTCTCTGTTACCTCATATGTAGGATTCTCATTTCTGGCTCTATTAAAAATGTCTAGTATGTCTTCTTTGCACATCTTATAAGGTTCGTCTTTTCCCTCAAATATTTCACTCTTTTTGGCAAATATATTGCCTTATCGTGTAATCTCATTCAGTCCTCTGTAATTGTTTGACTATGGTAGTCAGTCGTGCGTTATATCTAACAATGAATGCAAAATCTATTTTGGAAACCAAGGTCCTTTAGTTTTGTCTTGATCTATCTCATTGACATGCCACAAAATGCAAGGAACACAAAATGGCATGTCCAGTCGGTTTCCATTTCCTTTCAACACGTTGACATCGCTGTATCCAAACAGTCCTCCTAGCTCAATAGGCCTTTTGCTTACACTTGGTACTTTTGTTTGATGAACTAGTTTGTTTTTACAACATGTTACATAATTCGCAATATTTAAAGATGACCCAATATTTAAAGATGACCAGCCTGTACCTCCTTAACTTGCTGTTGGATAGATTGGAATCCCTTAATGAATGCGTGAACATATTTTTACATTTGGACTGAAGTTTATGTACAGTCGATTCATTACATTTATTGTGTTTACTATTTCAAAGGTTTGTTTTATTTAACCCAGCCAACATTTTGACCAGAAAGATTGATATTGCTGCCAAAGCATGTTTAATGATGACATTTTTTGAGTTATCAATATAGGTCTTGTAATCAAATATATTTTCTATTATTGTTACTAATAGTTCTGCCTGACATGACCAGTTATGTGTTTTTATGCCTTGTGCTGAGAACACTGTTTTAAAGACACTGTTTCTTTTATTGTGCTTTCCAAAGATAACTACATTAATCACAACCAATTTGTATTTTACACCAATCCTCTCCTCCCATTGCTTACACTTCCTTCCTCAGTATATGACATTATATGGCGGGGAACAATTGATGCACTGCAGCAACCACTACTTGTGCACTGTAAACAAAGGGAAATGGCTGGCGCTGCTCAACTGTTGCGTCACAGCTACAGCTGTGCACGAAGCCGGGACTTCGATACGCGTTGGTGGTGGGACCAGGGAAATTGTTTGTTCATTTCTAGATAACAATGAAATCATATGACATTTTTGTGATGTACTTATAGGACTATGGATCCTGTTAAAAAGTTTGATTTCAATAGATCTTCCTTTAGTCAAAATACTGATTTTGTACTATTTATTTCACCCACGTGTTCATGGTGCATTTACTGTGTAACTCATTCGAGGCTAACAACAGTGTATGACACATGCATGGTGTGGATTTATGCAGGGCAAGGCACCCAACATGGTTCGTACTGATAACAGTTCCAGGAAGCATCGGCAACCGTCGGCCCAATCTCGGTGTCACGCACCAACTGACAGGTACCTTCCGTCAGCTTAAAGTTGAAACCCGTGCATCGGATGTCCCTTTCACAGACTGATGCACATGCTGCTGGGTCGTTGACATGGGACTGAAGATCGTGAACTAAAACACTGCTGAACCGTTTTCCACGTTGCTGTGTTAGTGTTGAGCCTGCAAACACAAAGATATTCTTACTCTCTTCCTTTCTGTGACCGCTGTGAAAAGTATTTCAGTTAAATTGGGGGGAGCCCGAAGTCCGCAGTTTTAGTTGTTTAAGACTGTGCTGAAACCCACGAGCACGTATTCAGTGGTGATAAGCCAAAGTCCCCCATCAGGGCAAATCAGAGATGCTCCCTGTGGATCACAGAATCCTGGCACGCCCCATCTCTCTCAAAATCACAGCAAACATGTTACAAGCGACCGCATAACGAACCAATATGGTTCCACATCCAGTGATACTTGTTTAAACGTCTACTGTGCTTCTGGACAAACATTTGCATGGGGTTTGAAAGAACTGCAGGATATCGTCATATTAATTATTTAAGTTGAATATATCACTTGAAACTAACGAGTCTATGCATAGTCTAATCAAAATCGCGCCCCGAAATCGAAATCCGGCTCGTAAACTTTCATACAGATTTCGGTCGATTGCAGGATTTGAAAAGCATATGCACCGCCAACTCATTGTCAACAGATATTTTCTAAATCTTTTCATGTTTTTAATGAAGTTGCTCACATGATTTGATGCACTTCGCGATGTAAGACTCGTTTTATCACAATATATAGATCTTGATTATCGATCAGATCGTCTTGACTGGGCGCCGCAGTTTTGGTTGAACCAAATACAAGTGATACGAGAGGTGGAATCTCATTGGTTCATAGAAGAGGCATAGAAGGGACATAACTCGTAATAGCCACTGGTGGCGCTACGATCGAGCCCAGAATTCCAGCCTAGTTGGCAAGGGTGGAAACTGGACTTTTAAAGTCAGTTAACTCTCTTGCCTCGGGAAGGTGCACATTTACATGCCGCGGCCAAATTACTGGTGTAAAACAACATTCACTCATTCACAACATTACTAAAGGATGGAGTTTCTTTTCCTCATTTATTTCTTTAATTCTTTAAAATGAACCCTTTTTGTAAATAAAATACCCTTCATTATTGCGAAACCATAACAAATATGATGTACATTACATAAACGGTCGTGACTTACATGAAGTGGAGTGCGTTTCTGTAGCACCAAAGACTTGCACTTCGCAGAACTGTAGGACATCCACATCATTAATTCTGTTCTTCCCAGTGAGACGGAGATACCGACCACTCACAGGCCTCGTGCAGGTCACTGTGACCGTGACCCCGGGTGACGTCACACTGCCCGAGTAGAAGTAGCACTGTTTTGCGGGAGATAGCGGATTCAGAGTAGGATCTGTGTCGTACACGTCCACGGAGAAGTCGTGTAACCTCTCAGCTGAAGATAAATCTTCAATATGTACAATCTATTAGAATAATCATGTAATCATATGTTCACTTTTATTCTTACTACCAGCGACCGTTTGGATAAGCATGGAGCTACTACAGATGTGAATTACAACACTATACAAGTCTAGGTATTTTGTGACCAAAGAAATGATTCAACAAACGAACATAACTTACGACAGCAGTCCGACCTGGAGGACACCTTGATCTCTGTCACTAAGACCTGATACTGAAGGTCCACTTGCCACCAGTGATCAGGATCAGAGAAGTCGACAGAGAAACAACTTTGAGAGCCCCAGTGAGTGTCATTCTTGCCGTCAACAGCAGTAGAGCTTGCAAATCCAAGCATAGAACTTGCAGAAGTCGGTTTGTTCAGAGCAGGGTTGCCATCTGAAAATTGAGTGAGTCAGTGACTGAGTTGGGCCTTACATTACAGTGAAGACTTCATTACCTGAATGTTAGCATCGATTCTTCAACAGGCGCTTGGACAAAACAACATGGTCATAGGTTGTTCTTGGTGCAGGAGATTTTCCCGATGCAGAAAATATTTAATTGCATACTAACAAATGGTGTGTGTTTTTGAACGATAAGAACAGAATATTTGGTCATTCATCACTTGGGCCTTGATACTCAGCTGTACTAGCAGAAGATGTTTTTGCAAAGTATGGTTAACATCTGAAACATTGAATCGTTTGATCTTACAGTAAACACTCAACTTTTAGCTTCATCATGACTTTTCCCTGTGGGATTCAGGGCAAGAATTGGCCACCATAAACCTATGCTTATTGTAAGAGGAGAAATTGGACGCTATTAGAAACCTTGCAAACCATCTAACATCTCAATGAAACACCTAAAGGCATGTGTATCCATATTGGGCTTCCTAAACTGGCACCAACAAGTTTCCTCTTTACACATTCTCAAGCATTATGCTAGTATGAAATCATTATTACAACCAGACAAATATGTAACTATATTACAAGACAATTTTCTATTGAGAGCTCTTTGTAAAATTAGAATATCTCTCCATAACGTCCATGTCAATAAATGTCATAAAACCAAGGATAGTGATTTAAAATATTTAAAATATAGGTCTTTATTGTTGTTGCATTTTGTGTTTAAAAGGTCGCCTTCTGCCTAAGCGATTTTGGCTTACCTGTCACTCTTTGGGACTCATGGGTGTGAGTCTGGTAGGGCAGGCTTTAACATGTTGTAGCAGTGTGTCGAAGAACATGATTCTGGTTGTCTTAGTAATCTTATCCAATATGAAATAACTCTTGTTGTATAATGTATATGTAATGGATATTCGCCACATTCAGGGAGAATAGACTTGTTTGGTGAACGGTAGTCTGCACCTTGGACAAATCTACGGAATTTTCAATATACTCTTTATATGTTGTATCGATATCCATTTTTTCTGTAAATGAATAACGTCAACTGCGAAATGGCGACATCATCGGCAAATAAAAACATGGACGTCACCAATGAAAACTCCTCTGTACTCACTGTTTACAAGTTGCCAAGATTCTTGGAAGTTGTCCGTGTTAAGGTGAGGTGATATGAAATGGAGTTTAATGTCGTCGTCCAAGATTATTGCACCTATATAGCGACCTGCCTTCCTATACTAGTCCGGACGGATGCCAATTTATAGTGTTAGTCCACCGAGGTACCATGCCGCTGTTTAACATTAATACCCCTCTCAGACACAGTATACGGATTCCGAGCGGACAATTCCTTGTATTAGCTCCTTAATTGCCGAGCGCCAGACAGGGTAACAACAAGTACCATCTTTTAACGTATTTTGGTATGACCCCAGACTTTCCCTCTCCGGGCGGACGCTCTTCCACAAGATCATGGAGGCGGTTGATTATTTCATTGAAAAGTTAAATGGTAATAATATTGAACAAGATTCTTTAATTGCAGCAGTGGGTAGGCCGTCACCACAGGGGGACTTGCCGCTCTTCATATTGTTTACTGCATTTCGAATTTAATCGTTTGTTATTTCCCAAACCAAAATGGATTTCTGCACTGATCACAATTAGCAATATCATGGTTCAATTAATTATCAAAAGGAGAATCGCTATTCCTTTCACGATTAAGGAGATCATTGAAATATTCAAACCAGTTATCTGTTGTGATATTACAGTGTATATTTACAGAATCGCAATAGTTCTTTATTATTTTTCAAAAGTGTTTGCAAATTTTGCTCCAAGCATCTGTGAAGTTGCCTTTCTACAGAGGTCACCAAAACTATTTTCAAGTTAGGACCCCACCCTAGAGATTATTTATACTGACCCAGCCACATTTGAATGGCACGAACAGCATAACTGACACAATCGACTAGAACCAATTGCAGAACCATAGTCCGAACACAGCCACACTGTTGCAAGATCATGATAACTTTCAAATGGAGGAGTAGAGCGAAAATGTCTACAACATGTGACCACACGAGAGATGGACTAGAGACGTGAAAAAGGTTACTGAGGAAATACTTACCAGCATTTAAACTGATGAAAAAGCACACCATCCTTAGCAAGACAGGTATAGCGAGAGCGAGACCTAGGTATTAAACAGGTCAAACACCAGAAACATGTGTCGATCCCATGAGGAAGGACACTGCATCTCTGTACAACAGTGGCGCCACCAGCGGCAACAGTTGTGGGTCGAGCCAGTGCAGCAGGCTCAAATCCATCCATTAACAATTCAGAAAGAAAACGTACAGCTTTCAGGATAACAACGTCTGATTTACAGCATGTAGACGTTTCGATGTAGATTACCACACCCTTATCAATCTGGAGTGACTGCAGCCAGGTGATGAGAGGTGTATGTGCATGATATGTTGTCATATGAAGCAGATTAACATTGAATCCCAAGATAAAACACGTCCTTACAGAGCTGGTGTTGCAGTCGATTGTCTGAGACAGCATGGTGTCACCACATTGACAAGTCGAGATGACACCCCCTGTGGGGTTGGATAGCCAAGTGGTAAAAGCGTTTGCTAGTCACGCCTTAGTCCCGGGTTTGATTGCCCAGAAAGGTACAATGTGAGAAGCTCTTTTCTGGTGTCCTCCACCGTGATATTGCTGGAATATTGCCAAAAGTGGCGCAAAACCATAATCACTCACTCACCGACTGAACTCCTTTTGAATCTTCTGGGCCGAAAGGTTCGGAACCGACCTCAGCGTTCCCTGAATTTGCAACAGCCTGGCCAGGCCTCACGGAAGGCATGGCGAAGGATACCATGGGAGACAATCTGGTGTTTGATTACCAGTCTGTCCAGAAGCTGGAAACTGCCTTCATCGATTCTCACGGGGCATGAACCAGATATTGACTTTACTATCAAAATTGAATTCCACGACGTCATTACTCTACCTATCATTTATGAAATTATTTGGCGTTCCCTTAAATATAGATACAAGTATATTTAATCAGTATCGGTATATATAGTATACGAAGTGTTTTTCCTGGCATGTTTGTTGTTTTCTGTTGTAAAGTTTGCCTTGTCTGTCAGTCTATATTATTCATTATCTATAAATATATTCATCAAGTTCAAATTATCAATACTCAAATTATCACATACACAAGCCTTTCTGTTGCTAATTCACAATGAGTAACCTTGACCTTTAATTTCATGTAATCATATGCAAAAGTATTTCTAACATAAAACCAAAAGTCAATTAAACTTCACAGGATGCCCATGCAAGCAATATGCCTCAATCAGGGCTCTTCGACGTTTGCGATCGTTTGAAAGAGCAACAAGGACAGTTCGCCTTGCGGCCACAGAATAAACTCTTAATATGTCTATTGTAATAATGCTGAAATTGCTATCATCTATCGCTTGATGTTACTATGGCACAATTTTGGGTTGGGGCGGAGATTTTAACGAAACAAACGAAATTAACAGCCACAATAACTACATCGTTGCGTGGCGTTTCTAAGGAAGATATTTAGGCTCACAATAAAAACTATATCTGGTTTTGCATCTGAAGCTGACAAACATGCAACCCAAATCGCCGAATATCAAATATCGGCCCCTAATAGTCACTTTAGTCCCAACACAACAGCCAAATGATAGATCACATAGAGTAACATTGTAATACAAAAAGACTTCAAAACAAATTTAAACTTACCTGTCCCTGTTGTTTCTTGTATACGTAGGACAGTCACGCAAACCAAAATACATATCGCCACTCTACCTCTCATGACACGAGGGCCAGCAGTAAAATGTAAGGTTAAGTGAAGTTTACGCAGATTGGTTACCTCTTGTTATGCGCACCACACACCCAGATGGCTTAACTGTGACCCTGTCTGTACAAATGCCATGTCTGAAGTGGGAAGTTTCGAAACAACAACAAATCGTATTCAAGTCAACAATCTATTATTTAAGGAATGCCATTTAATCAAACAGAGCATTTTGTGTACAATGGAGAGGGCAATGATCCATGATGGCGGAACTTTTGACCACGTTCCTAGGGTGCATTTTTCTTCACAGTGACAGAAAATTGGTCAACTCAACATGTTTGTTCTCACAACGTCTGGAGGAATATATTTTTTCAATTAATACGTTTAACATGGTTCCCCCTTGTACTGAATAAGACCCCCCCCCCCCCCCCCCCTATCCTGATATTCTAACATGATACTGAGTTTATATTAGTTGGTGATGACAACACAATTGTATGTCAACACATATCTACGATCAGACAACTGACACTATGACTCACGTTTATATAGGCTATCTGTGAGACATGCGCCTGTCATATGATATAACTGATTTTGCTGTGCCTATATTCATCTCCAGTGTAGGGTGTTGTAATGCTCGACGAGGTAAGTGTATATCGTATGCTATATATTTTAAAACATGTATAAATACATATTGAAGTAATCTCGCCAAGTTAATTGAATCTAAAGGCTTTAGTTGCCATGTGCCAGGAGTACGCCCCCTGTTGGAGCAATCAGCTCTATTCACGAGAGGGAAAGAATTTTTGATTAGAAGTATTATAACACGTCTGTGCCTTAAACCTGGTTCATCCAGTGCAACACAATCTCTTTTTAGACACAATACAGGGTCATCATGTTTAATCAAGCGTCGTATAGCATTTTTTCCCCACCCCAGAGGGACGAGATAAGTAGGCCATATTGACGTTTTTTCACCATACAGTAACAGCTCTGGTATGCCCAATAGGCTAACTATGTGTTGGTCTTTGTTTGGTGTACATCTAATTGCGTCCTTTACTGTGATCGCTTATGTTGAAAAGCACACGATTCTGTGGCAAAACCTGTCAAATTACTTTTAGATGTGTGTTTACATTTGACTGATCAGTGTGACGTCACGAGACATACTCCTTGGATCACTGGAGCGTGTGGGGAGTGGGGAGTCCATTGTCCTTTCATATGGGAAACTGGATCACTGACAACCACTGTCACCCGTGACAGACTGTTCCTCTCACATTACGTCGAATCAAATTTCAAGGGAAGCTCTTAATACTGTTAAATCGACGATCTTGTAGGAGCGAAAATAAATTCAATGCAGACAGAACTCAATAAACGCCCAGTTGACGGAGGCGACAAACAAATGTGATCAATTAGAAAAAAGCAGTTCGAAAGGTGTAGAGTGACGTGGAAAATGTGCAACACCAGCAGGATATTATAACACTAAAGCATTACTGCTTGATCGCGAACTAGAAAAATAGGCTGCAAAACATGGACAAACTAGAGACGTACAGTCGCAGAGATAATGTTGTACTTTAAGGCGTCAGGGGAAATAATCAGGGGGATTTTGATTCATGCAAAGCTGTTGTTGTTGAACAATGAACGAACAACGAACACAGTGAAGATAGAGTTTGAACTCGCATAGATTGTGTACGTGCGCATCGTGTATGTACGAAGCGAGACACTGATCGTCCTCGCTCACTTATTGCCAAATTATTGTTGAGTGAGGACAAGGGTGAAGTACTGAAGATGAGACCGAGTGTACAGTTGGCTTCCATCGTAGTCTAAAATGACCTTACTGAGCATCATCGAGATATTATTGCACAACAAAGAGAGAGGGGAATGACATCTTACTTCAAGAATGGTCATCTTTTTATCAAATCCAAAGATCAATACCAGAGCGCAACCGAAACAAATGCCCGTACTCAAATCCTATAGAAAGGCCCTTCACGTGAACTTAACAAAATGATCACAGTATAGAATAATTCGGGAGGATGACTATAGCTCTCTATTTAAACCCAAGGTTGCATCAACTCCTAAACAAAGTCAGAGGAGCTATGCATCCAAATAGGTATACGGCTGGGCCAAATGTTTAATAAATCGGACTCGAATAGGTAATTAAATGAAATCAAATTGTCTCCTGTCATTAATTATCCCCCGCCGCGCGAAAGCGCGAAGCGGGGGATATAGTATTCACGACCGTCCGTACGTCCGTCCGTCCGTCCGTCCGTACGTCCGTCCGTACGTCCCACCTGTTTGTTGCCGCGATATCTCAAGAACTAAACACTGGATTGTCTTCATATTTGGAACTATGGTGTATATACAGACTCCGCAGACACCAGTCGGTTTTGGTGACCTTGATCCCATTTTCAAGGTCACAGCAGACAAATCTGCTTTTAGAGTTGGAAAACGGTGTTGCCGCGATATCTCAAGAACTAAACACTGGATTGTCTTCATATTTGGAACTATGGTGTATATACAGACTCCGCAGACACCAGTCGGTTTTGGTGACCTTGATCCCATTTTCAAGGTCACAGCAGACAAATCTGCTTTTAGAGTTGGAAAACGGTGTTGCCGCGATATCTCAAGAACTAAACACTGGATTGTCTTCATATTTGGAACTATGGTGTATATACAGACTCCGCAGACACCAGTCGGTTTTGGTGACCTTGACCCCATTTTCAAGGTCACAGCAGGCAAATCTGCTTTTGGAGTTGGAAAACGGTGTTGCCGCGATATCTCAAGAACTAAACACTGGATTGTCTTCATATTTGGAACTATAGTGTATATACAGACTCCGCAGACACCAGTCGGTTTTGGTGACCTTGATCCCATTTTCAAGGTCACAGCAGGCAAATCTGCTTTTAGAGTTGGAAAACGGTGTTGCCGCGATATCTCAAGAACTAAACCTCTCGATTGTCTTCATATTTGGAACTATAGTGTATATACAGACTCCGCATACACCTGTCAGATTTGGTGACCTTGACCCTATTTTCAAGGTCACAGCAGGCAAATCTGTTTTTGGAGTTGGAAAACGGTGTTGCCACAATATCTCAAGAACTAATCGCTGGATTGTCTTCATATTTGGTACTATGGTGTATATGGCGGGGGATATTTCGTCACTCTGTGACAAATACTTGTATGTATTTGGATCATTTATACATTGTGATATTTGTTTGTAAGTCAACATGGATTTTAAATATATCCCCTAATCCTTCAGTCGTTTCTGTTAATGTTTCGCAATAATAAGCAAGAGGTGCAAGCAACGAATCGCTTAGAGTTAACAAATTAATCGCTCATCCTGGGGTCTGCATCAGCTCCAATTGCTTGCGCAGTCTTCAAAAATGGCGATGCAACTACCGCTTGGTTGCCTTGCTCAAATAGAGATCGTAATAGAAGAGGCTTGATGACTAACAGATGAAATTTATGACTTCTTTGAAGATGTGGAGCAGACTAAAGATGATGGGATCTTAGCTGCCTTTGCTCATTTCCCAACTGATCCAGTCAAGAATGTTCTTGTTCCGCTGACGAACTCAGCCGCCATTTTGGTTTGAGAAGGAAGTGACGTCAGTCAGCGATTACGATTGCAAGCAGCTGAAATTTGGCGCCCGGTTGTACGAATAAGACGAATCGCTGTACATCACTTGCAAGAGATTGTCGCTTTGGACGCACCCAAGATATAATGTCAGATAGCATTGTAAACATAACATTGTGTAACCGTATGAATTATTACAACAAAAAAAGAACTTTATGTTTCTAATATTTTCGGAATTTTGATGTATCACTTAGACATGTTTTAGGTAAGATAAGATGACTGATTTTGCTTGTGGTGATAATATTTGTACAGATATGTCTATTGAGCATGAGTAATCATGTTTTTCTGTTCTTTGTAGGTATATCCTTTACTGTTGGGAACATGGCACTATCAAGGTATCCAAACATTGTGCCAATCAACAGGGATACTACTAAGTGCACAAAGTGTGCGACCACATATGATGCTCACGAGTACCCACGTCTTCTGACATGTCTTCATGGAATTTGCAGGTCATGTTTAGCAGATCTCAGCATTTTGGGCCAAGAACTAAAGTGTCCTGTCTGTGACGATACAACATATATAAAAGACAGTAGAGCTGCCCTTTCTCTCCCAGAAGACTGCTTCACTATCAAGGTCATCCTGTTTTTAGAACTTAAAGATTCCAAGGGAAAGATAAAGTGTACTGAATGTCCCAAGCAGAACAACGCCATTTCCAGATGTATTGATTGCCGCATGTACATGTGTGACATGTGTAAACTTTATCATGAGCGTTTTTCTAAATACTTCTCAGACCAACACGTAGTCGTTGCAGTGGCGGACCTCTTGGAAAAGCCACATACCATCTTCAATGAGAGCAAGCTATGCGAATACCATTGGATAAAGGAAACACTCTACTGCAAGACATGTGAAGTGCCCATATGTCCATCATGCCTGAAGCTTACCCACGCAAGGCATATTGCATTAGACATCAACAATCCACATGGTAAGGCAATAGCTAAAGTGTCAGATATCAATGCAAAATTGACCAAAGATCAAGAGAACATAATGTCATCTCAACGTGGTATTAGTGGCAAAGTCGAAGATTTCAACATAAAGATAGCTAACAAGGTGAACGATATTGAGGAAACGTTCCATTCGGTACTTAAAACATTAGACGAACGCAAAAGGTTCCTTCTTTGTAAGGCTCAAGAGGCGGCTGATGAAGAACTTCAGATCATCCGAAGGAAGAAGTGTGTTATGGGGGCGAGACTGAAGAGCTCCAAAAATGCTTTATCCAAGAGTGAATCAGTTCTCCAAGAATGCGCACCAGCTGATGTATTGACCATGAAGGATGTCATCAAGTCAAGGATGATTCAGCTGGAGAATGAAACTGCACTGGTCTTCATCATTAAGAACTTACGCCTTCACGGGACAGGATTTGATAAAACTGAAAAATTAGTATCCAAGCTGTGTGACGTGTCAGACTATTTGAAATCACCAGCAAGACCGAAACCACGGCCTACTGACTATCGTACTCTGATGGCAGTATGATATATCTGAAAGCAACCAAATTTCGACCCTCGCCAAATTGTAAAGTATTGCCGATTTTACCCATCGTAAAAGTGTTTTTGTTTTACCCTGGGAAAATTTAAATATGAAATCAGCTGGATCTGATTGTATTTAACCGATCAAATCGTCATACCCAGTAAACATAGCTCCTTGTGGCATGCAATGTTGAAAATACGTCTTTAATCTACTGGGCAATCAATTGAAATGATGATTCTTTGAATATAATTTTAAAAGGATATGAAGGTGTTTCACATCATGCAAGTTTTAATTAAGAGGTTATTTCCCAATTGGGTATTATTGGATGTTATTACATCTGGGGTCTATACAATGATTTCTGTTGCTTCTCCCCCAATTATAGATTTCATGATGGAAAAGGGTCTAAGCTTAAGATGATATCAACCTATACTATGTCTTATGGTAAACAATTGACTTGCCTTTGCATGTGTTTCTGATCGGTGACACGGGTTACGCAGGACACTCTCACCATTTCGCGACCACCTGCTATCACCACTGTTTGATAGTGATTCATAAACACATGCTCATGATATAGTCGTATAATCGACTCTGCTTTTGGTAGTATTGGTAGGTATTGCTTTTAAATATGGAAAGGGCTTTTATTTGTCGCTTTTATTCAAATCTAAACAATATTTACATGCATGTAAGTGGTTTTAAGAAGATGATATGGCTTCGCAGATTAAGGTTTCAAATATGTGAACCACAAGAATATACGATCTATACCTCCCCTTACTGAAAATTGATCTAAAGATCTAAAAAGGTAAAAGGTATCTACTATATACATGTTGACCTGTCTATAAATGTAACTAGCTACGACTTTGTATATAATGTTCAGCCGTTAAAAACAATTAAGAAGTTTCATGCTATGAAAACTATATTAAAATTTAACTTATATCTTGTCATTTATGTCAATTTATAACATATCTTTCAGAAGGTCCGTGGTTCGAATGCCATCACATGATGGAAATATCATGGCCGCCCTATTGGCGCCCAACATGATACTGAACACGTTCATATTAAATACACTAGTAAAGTACGTTTATAACGAACACGCTTATAACGAATTGACGGATATAACGAACTGATTTTTTGTACCGACTATTTGCTATAGTTATGCAGTATATATGCTTATAACGAACTACGGTTATAACAAACTAAAGTTAGTGGTCCTTTCGAGTTCGTTATAACCGTAGTTAACTGTATGAGCAAAATACGTCTCAGTACCCTACTATGCGGCCCGGGAAGTGCCTTCTGTCGAAACATACAGCAGGGCGTTCCGTCACCCCACAAATGACATCCTTACCGTGTCAGCTTGCTGACGGAGTTTGCCTCTTTGGTCATGTGGACGAGGCGTCCGGATCAGAAGCTCCGTGGTTCGAATCCGATGGCCGCTACAGAAACATTACACATATTTGTGATTCCTAATCTTTGATATTTACTTTAATGAAACTCACGAGGGTACAACATATTTATCATATAATATCATTATTAAAATAATTGATATTTTATTACGAAATATAAGATAGCTTCGCGATAAATCACAAAACGGAATGAAGAAAGAAGCATGGCTTATTTCAAGATAAAACACTGTTCTATCATGACGTCATGAGATTCGAATATGCGCTCGAAACTTGATGACGTCATATATTGGACGACGTTATTTTTTGAGAGGGGAGTGTCTAGTGAGTCTTTGCCCATGGATGAAACGCACCCAAAAAGGGAGAGATATGACAATCGGTATTAGAAGTAAAGGTACAGATAATCGACGTGAGGATTGTGAGAATATGCGGCAAATATCAAACTTAACCCACCTGTTCATAAAATAACCTTGTCCGACATGTCCGAGGTCAGATTCTATTCAGGGAGTCATCCTTATTAAAGTTAAGGTAACTATTTTTAAAGCTTGCACATTTTATGAACATCCTTAAAGAGGCTGTACATAATGTTGATATCTCATATAAGAAACAAACGACCAATAGTCGTTGTTTATCGTACAATAAAACACTTCAGGGAGAATAAACCATGAGGGGCGCAGACCCGTGTGGTTTATTCTCCCTGCAGTGTTTAATTGTACGATATACAACGAACCATGAATCGTTTATTTCTTAAATAACGTTAGAAACTGCGTATGACCACCCAACGTATTGTATAGTGCCAAATGATTTGCAGTCACATGTAACTTTACACCATCTATACATCCTGAAACCATATTGAAAATGTTAGCCAGTTGTTCACTGAGCAAGCCTACAGTGTAAAGATGTATGGAGCTGATTAAAAGCAATTCCTGCCAGGTGACTTCATGTCCATATGTACTGGATTTCGATACCAAACTACTCGGATTGGATAGATCGATAGATCAAATTGTATCCTCTCCGTGGGGTATTTTCGTATTACACACGTGGGATCATGTACACCGTATCGTTGGAAGAAGAGAGTTCTTTAACGGCTGTTCGTTGGATGTTTAACGCTGCACTGTCTATAAAATATATTAGCTTTCTCACGGTGGTCTGTACATAATCTGGACCAGACAGTTGACATTTACGAGGAACGCTTCGCGCCGTCTGCGTGAGATGAAATCCAATAAACCAAGTTACTGAGCCTTGACCACCGAAGTCGATAGCCTCTTACGACCAGCAGAGGTTTCCAACGACGGAAGCCTAATTAATAATATTGTCATCGCAGAGAAAATCCAACCTATAAAAGGTTAACAGAATATGTACTCTAACAAGCTGACAAACTTGATAATGTACAAATACACCGCCTACTGCATTATAGGACAATCCAGTTGATCACAAATCAAATATATAAATGTATAACGTCACGAGACCGATAACACAAACTTGTCCAGATAAAACTCGCACCAACACAACAGATATCAAACCGCATCGTGCATCAAACGAGGGTATCCACAGCGTACCCGTGATTCCTTTAATTCAAAGTAAACAAACTAAACTTACACACGATGGGATAAAATGTCTAAATATTTTATTGCTTGTTAGGATCTACATCAGTTTTTAAAGAAAAAGAAAATATGAAGTATGACTTTTATCCAAATAGGTATATGAGTCTACGTGGAATCTCTTGACAAATGTTTTGCAGCTTTACAGTTATAAGATTGAGCATTCTGTAAAGGCCAAACATTTTATTCATTTTTCGTTTCACAGGCCAGCCACACCTACTGAAAAGGCAGCCTGTCTAAGAAATAAATTAAAAATGGAAATATATATTTGTATTATGTATCCCGTTAGTAATATAGATCCTCTTATATACAATATAAAAGTCATAAATAAATTCCATGTCGACATCACTATCAGTTATTCAAGAGACCACATGCAGTTTTAACTCCACGGCAGAATGACTTTCATAAAATAAATAAATAAATAATTGACATTTATTTATATTTTTAGTTCGACCGACCTTGTGTGGAAAAGCTGGAATAAATCCGTGAAATATAAAATTTAAAAAGTGTGACATAAGCAACGATTCGTTACACGTGCTAGTACCCAAATCAAGCAAAACAAATACACTGGTATCAGTACCGAAACGACACATACAGCTTCTACAGTAGTTGAAGTCTTCTTTGATAATGCAGCTTGCAACACGCCACTTATTAATAGATAAAGTGGACACTTCCTGACACTACCCACGTATACTGTCACTATGACAGGTGCAATATATAAACCACGGGTCTAACAGTTCACTGCGCCTGCTATCCACATGTTACCACTGATTAGGATATCCACTTATCACCATGTGACCAAACTGACATGCAGATTAGCTGCATTCATACGATTCCTAAGGGTTTGCAATGTGCAATGGCTTCGCGTGTGTTGGGGCGTTAGGTTTTGATTCCGAAAACCGTCCTGGAAAACAATCTCTGGAAGTATTTTTTCAAAGCTGATCTTTTCCTGGCGACCGATCATGACATTAATATTTCGTTATCCCCATGAATTGTGAGAGTATCTGAACAAATATTAAAGGAATATTACCTTCAAGTGAAACACAGCGTTGATTAAAGGGGCAAAATCTGGGACGCTAGCGGGAAATAAGCGGGGCTCGAACAAGACGTAGACTGCTTGGTGTTTGTCACATTTTAATAACTAGACATAGTTAGCGTGTAACCGTACCATCTAACCAGCAAGCCGACTTCCCACCTCTCGATTGAACCTATCCGTTGACCGAGTTTGAGTGAGTGAGTGAGTGAGTTTGGTTTTACGCCGCTTTTAGCAATATTCCAGCAATAACACGGCGGGGGACACCAGAAATGGGCTTCACACATTGTACCCATGTCGGGAATCGAACCCGGGACTAAGGCGTGACGAGCGAACGCTTTAACCACTAGGCTACCCCACCGCCCCTGAACGAGTTTGAAATCAATGACTGAAAAAAGCATTTTAACGAGGGTCAAATAAACATGAACGTTAACCGTTCCACCTCGTGGAGCTGACGCGGTCATACAGTCGAGTGTAGCTCTTGTTCATCACGAGCTAGTGATGATGTATGCCTTCTGGTCGATGGTTATAACTTAATAATTCTGACATAAAGATAACCGCCATTTTCTGATAGCAGTTTGAACAGATAGTTTTAGGACTGACCAAAAATCCAAACAGGCCAACTTATAGATGTCTCATATATACACGGCGCTTACAGGGGCCGTGGTTCAGTGTTGTATTGGCACAGCTAGGCTGGAGCTGAACGGTTGCAAGAGACGATCTAATATAACCAATAACTCGGATAGGATTATGATTAAACGGATAAGCCGGATTTGCATTAGTGTAAGAGTGAGTGTGCATGACGTGTTTAATGTCACATTATACAGTTTAGGTCGCGTGTCAGTTTACTGAGGGAGTAAATCCCAAAGTTATGCAATCCTGGAGATTTACAAAGTTGGTGAAACCCACGTGCATCGGTACGGTAATGATAAACAAGAATCAGAGATTCGAACCCACGATCATTGAATTCTGGCA